TATTGATGGGAGGTGGCGAGATGTTAGGCTATCTCTACCAAGAGACTTCAATGTGATTGTGATTCGCATTTGCTGTGTCTTGGCTTTGTAATTCTGCTTTCGACTATGCTCTCATATGCTCGTACTGCTTTGTGTCTTTCGCTGCTGGAAAATTTCAAATTTGTGTTCTCATCGGGTGGTTCCTTGCACGGAGTTGCACCAACCCAAAAATTAACATGCTATGCCACGGTGCCACGCAACACCTTTGATTTTAAAAGGTGGACCTGGGCCCTTCCTAATTTTGGGGGGAGGTAGGGCCTGCAGTTGCCCTCCGAGCTCATGAAAAATAGCGCCAGCTTGTCGTGTTGTGGTGTTAATGCACTTCTTTAACCACCAGTCTCTCCACACAGTTTCCCATTTTTTTTTGCCCGCACACGTGAAGGCCGCACTTTTGATGCACAGACCTGCCTTCTGCCGGTTCCATTTGTAGTCGAACCACCGGTCCCTCCGAAAAACAGAACCAGCACACGAGTGAATGAATTTCCCTTTGCCTGGCCTCACAGCCCTTTTTGTCCTGTAGGCCAAGCCCCTGTTAACACGGCGTGTTAAACCACCAGTACTTGGCCCATACATCGGCCGCGGGCGTTTCCCGTTAACGCACCGCGACCGATGGGCTTCCGAGTACCAGACCACAATGGCAGGAGGCGCCAGCCAAAATTGAAACAAAACGCCGCGCCGTCGGTTCAGCAAAACTTGGCGCGCGTGAATTTTAATAAATAAAGGAGAACTTCTCTCCATCCAATAGAGATTGGTGGAAGATTGGCGGGAGTAGGATTTGAACCTACAACATTCAGATTATGCGTTTCCCGGCTTGGCATCGATAGCTGGGCCAAGTACTGGTGGTTAACCCCCCCTGTCACAACAAACAGCTGGGAAAGGGACTGGTCGTTCAATGAGAAACTTTCCGTCAGGTGAAAACCGCTTCGGGAAGGGACTGGTCATTAAATGAGAAACATTCCGTCAGGTGAAAATCGCCCTGCAGTGAGAGGCAGTAGAGCGCCCCCC